TAACTTACGTCGTACCCGCCTCTCACATACTTTATACATTTTTTATCGATTATAAGATCTCCATGCTATGTTAGAACTTAACGATTGCCATCGATTATAAAACTCTCACAGAATTACTTTTGAATTATGTGGTAACTCATTTCCTTGCTTAAGTGTCACCTTGTTAGAATTTTCTTTGTAATACCTCACCTGTGCTTCACCTCTCAGACTGGTATATGGTTATCTTCATTTTAACAGAAGTTACTGTAGTAGGGCCACGCAACAGTGTTCGCTATTGCACGAATGGGCCGGCCCGTCCGGGTAAGTACCACGACCTCACACAAAACCGGCGTGAAGTAGAAGTGAAATTGACACTTTTCTGCGTTTTGTCTGGTGAGTGAGGTAGCTGGGGCCCGCGGTATTAAAAGGTTTGGTTTTAAACATTTGCAACGGTACGAGTGTTGCAAATGTCAATGAGAGGCGATTATAATATAACACCACATAATAACTTAAACCGCCAACCTCGTTTCCCATCTTCTGACATAAAAAAGAACTGTGCTGATTTTATAAAACCATAATTTCATACTGAACACTATACAAAGAAAAAGTAATAAGTAATTGCAATTTAAATGATAGTATGATAAACTTATTTATTTCATTTATTAATGTCTAATTGAGTAAATATAAGAAATTATTATGATAAAAGTTTTTTCTTTTATATATTTTGATTTAATCACCGCCTCGGTAATGACGTTATTATGCACGGGAAGAAATAGTTTACTAATACGTACGTGAACGTGTCGAAGTGTACGTGGTGTGTACGTGTCAAAGCCATGCGAAAAAAATCGTAAATTAAAAGTATTAATAGGAATAAATATTGTCTAGTGACCGCGTTTTTAAGACTTTTGCGACATCAGGAAAGTTTTTTTTATCCTAATGCCGTCGACTAACAACTAAAACCAAGAAAACCCGGTGCTGCGTCAAATAAGTCCACCGGTGGACACGTGACTATTAAATATTTCTTTCTTTCTTTCGTATTGACATGAGCCATTCAGCGGTAATTGTTCTCTTCGCACCCGAAGGTACCCCTTACTTGCATGTGTTCATTTCTGTGTCACAACCGTTTAGCATATTGGGATTGCATGGTCCTTCATTATACTAAAGACCAGAGGATTGGGGCGAGCGCTCTATTAAGCACCTAATATTTATGTAGTGCTTAGGGAAATGTAACTTTCATGATCTGCGGCCTCTAAAAACAAGGACTAGTGCAGGCTTGAGCCGTTACGGCTTGTAACTGCCAACCCCTTATAAATAGACACTATATATATATATATATCCCAAAGGAGGACAAAGATCAGATCTTCTGAGTTAAGCTTATTTCCACAATAACAGGGATAGACAAACACAAAATAATAGGAACAACTATAATCTCCTAACTTCTAAATACCATGAATTATCTTAACTACTCGTAATCTAATGCTACTATGCTTTTCGTCTAGGACTCCCACCCATACATTATTCCTCTAGTTTACCTAAATTACTGATCGATAGTTGAGAGCAATGTATTTACATTGACATTTAATTCAAGTGCAACGCTAAGAAATAGAATTTGCACAAACACGTATAACGTAGATAACTTATTTCATGAAAACTCATGCGCTTTGGTCGCTAGTTTTTTTTCCGATTGGAGTTTCGAAGGTCTTTCGTGTCAGTGAATTCTCTTCAAACATTCAAATAATATACCGCGAAACAATTTTAGAAATAAGTCAGGGACCGTCTGTACTTGTCTCTGAAGTCAAGGTTTGGTTCAACAAAAACTCGGATTGGAATGGTTCCTTCCTAAGTTTTGGAATCCTTTGTCAAATCTAGACTTATAAAAATATTAGAATACATCTCTTATTACATTAGTTTACGTTGCAATATCTTAAATTAAAACATTTCAAATTGGGTAGGCCTAATGGATGTATTAAGTGCAGTGTGCTCAGTTTAATTGAACAAGGTCTCGTGAAATAATGTTCTCAGCCCTAAGCTGAGGCACACCAATAACAGCTTATTTCATTTAATCGCATCCAACATAGAGTCGCTGGAATCATCGTTTTGATCTTATTTCCTTGCGACATTACTGTACCTCTTTGTATTTTCTGTCGCATTAACCATCGAAATTGCTAAAGACTTGTTTGAATAAATTCCTGCCACTAAAGTATACCACCACCCAGTAGAACTAAAAAAAATTAATATTAATTTAATTTATTATTAATGTCATTACTTGTCATACTTCATTATCAATAATTTTTTTTTTATTTTAAATGTATGCTTCAGACACATACACAGATAAAAAGAGTAAATATTTAAATATAGTAGTGCTATATAAGCGCGTCATCAGCGTAACGTGTTTCCGTTGCATTGTCGTCGTCCGAAGCATTCAGGTACCTCTTAGTCGCGCTAAAAAAATTCAAAATTACCAATAATAAACATTGATACTACTAACAAGAAAAAAATAAAATCATTAGGTATAATAATCTTGAAGTGGTCGGTAGTTTGCTTTGCTTTTACATTTACTCGGTCTGGCACGAATGTGTGTTATATTGCGTCTAATATTTCGTTTCATAGAAAAAATAAAAAGCCCCAAAATGTCACGTGTTAACCGCACTTTGTCTTCTATATCCATCGTGATACGCAAAGTCATCGCTCAGCTATTTGGTAGTGTCCCTCTACTGACATTATACCATTTTTATTATATGAAGGAGAAGGCAAAAAATTCTTCACCTTCTGCCATTTGTATTATTCGATAAATAGTCATTCTATATCTCTCTCTATTCATACTTTAACGTATAATATATACTATATTAATCTGTGAACCTGTTTTATTTTGAAATATCAGTTTTATATAATTCATGAACTACTTATGATCACAACTGATACCAGTATGTGGAACAATTTTTAAGGAATTTAATTAGCAAATGCATTTTTTTTAAATATTTTCATATTTTTTTAATTTTCATCCGCTTTTAGGATCAAAAAGATAAGAAAAAGGTAAGTTTCAAGAATCCATTCTTAAGCGATGCCTGCAGTAAGTAAAATTGAAATTTTCATCATATAATTTATGCATGAAGGTACAAGTTTATAATCCCGTGGTTTTGAGATTGCAATCAACCTGCAATGAATATTCCATCATAATCGATACTAAAATTTCTGAGTGTAGGCACAAATGAAGTTAATGAGATTATTAATTCAATTTTATTTATTACTTTAGAAAACATATTTATCAAAATGGGCTTTTCTCTGTGGCTTTTCCATAACTAGTCAGTTTGTTAGTAGTAGACTGTCTTTCTCGTTTACTTCTCTGTCTGCTTTTTCTAAGAAAAAGACTTTACCCGTCGTCTAACTAACTTTAAGAAGTATTATAAAAACTGACGCTCGGAGCGAAACATAATTAATATAAAGATACAGTTCAGCCCGAACGAACTTTATCCGTACGTTTTTATAACAGTTCATTCCAAACCATTTCTATTGTTAGTTTGAGTGTTTTATATTTAGTGTGAATGCTGTCTTGCTAAGTGCTTAAAGACGCGATATCGATACACCGTTTTCCATTCATAATATTAGTTTGATGGTTTCATTAAAATTTTCCGAAACTAATGAACTTATGTGTATAATTATTTCCCTTTTTCTGCCCGAGCTCTAATATTCTTGACGGTCCATATTTCGAAACAAAATATGTAACAGCCAAACTGAAAAGACATCAAACTTTCGTCTTTTTGGGTTATATAGTCTAATGCAAGGCGTCGCATAAAGCCGTATCAAAGTTAACAATTTTATTTCGAAATCAAGATAGGTGACAACAATTCTATCATTCGTGCCGTGTAAATTCAATGTGTAAATTCGTGCAACTAAAAGCAATTATGGTAAATTATCCTTTCGAAACAAACGGCCTTATTAAGGACGCTAGGAACGACCCGAAAGGTTTTATTTTTCCAACCAGATACGTTGGGTTTATAGTAACTAGTAGCAATTAATTTTACCTGTGCGACAAATTGTTCAGTCGCGCTCGTATCAATCTTTTATAGGAGTAATTCTTTGTGTGAAAATTTTGTAAAAAAAATAATTCAATGTCATTTGCATTATACATCTCTATTTCTATTTCTGAAACATATGATCATGTAATGGTTGAATACTCCAAAAATTTATGTATGTATATAATACGGTTACAGTTATGAAATGAAAATATTAACGTATAGAATTAATAAAACTTAACAAGTAAAAGTTAAAACATATATTTTTAATACTTATCGCTCGGTATGAATACGTAAGAGCCAAAGCTTATAAAATGATGATGTTCCCAAAAAAACCCTAAAGCATTATACATAGGAAACGGAAAAGTTTTCTCGCTTTTGTTACGTCTTTGAAATAATAATGCTGGGTGCACGCTATACGATATAAAAATTAGAAGACATGCGCGGAAAAAATCAAAGCCTTAACCGGTGAAAAAACTTTTCGCGTACAAATTTACGAAAACAAGTCAGTTACAAGAAGAAAGAATTGACGCATTTGCATTAATGGAAAGTTAAAAATAAAATAATTTCTTAATATTATCAAATAATAGAAGTGATAAGCAACTCTCATAATAGATCTTTTTTATCAGAGTTGCCGCGTGGAAGCAAACGCTCCACAAATACCTAGATGATTCCTTGTGGTTTACGATTTAACAATCTAAGTTTAGAATTATAAACCAGATGGCTGGCATACTCTTATAAAGAAAATTTCAAACATAATATTAGTCACTTACGCGGCGATGAATATTTTACAAATACACTCTATTAATAGATACAGTATAAGGACGTCGAAAATATTAAAAATTGAAGTAAACGTAGCGTAAGTACGTAAATTAAAGATAAACATTCGCTTAAACCGCACAAAAGTAACAAACATAATTTGAACGCGATAAAAAAATTTACAACACTTAACGTGTTACTTACCGAAAGTTTTCGGTTGGAAGTTTTCAATCGGGATCGATGTAGTTAGCGCGAGGGGACGACCGGGCTCCTGGTGAGTGCCGCCTTATCAATGGGCTTCGACGAGCATGGTCGCGCGAACGAAACAAGTCTACGCAGCGCGTAAACAGAGCAGTAGGATAGGCCGCTCAGTGAATATCCCGAGAGAGTGTCGTGCACAAACGGCAACGAGAAACGCTCAGATCGATAACGGTGCTGGCGCGCTCCCTTTCGAGTGCCCAACTGAATAGGGTCGCACGAACGCCCCAAAGATCCGAGATACGCGACCGGCGCCGGGGGAGACCTCTCGCGTCAAACGGTGGCTATACTGTGGCGGCGGGACGAGCGAATGGACGAAGCGCCGAACCGCATTTCATTTTAAACCGTGACGTAGCGGGGACGCGAGGTGCGAACGGGGCATGCGCGCTAAGAAGTAGGCGCGGCGCCCACCGCGATCCGACGTAGGCAGCAAGTGAGCTGAGCGCGGAACAAAGCCGCCGGCCGTTGGGCCCAAAAGCGCTCACGCCACCTCTCCGCCGGCGTCTTAACGCACGCAACACCATCGATCATCGGCACGCACCACCCGCGACCTCCACAGCCCTCGCAATGCCACAGCGGCCTGCGTCGCATATTGATTCGATTAACGTTTTCGCCTATTCCCCATTGGCAAGCGATAATCCCATCCTAGACCTCGTAACGTACCTGCATTCCTCAAAACAAAGGATGAATATCTGCCACTCAATTTATGAACGATCCATTGTTCATCAACGATCCGATAAACAAATTACATCGGACAATTGGTCAAAAGGAATGCACGCTTATATCGAAATTACCACCAATATCGTCAATTTTGCTTTTCAATAGTTTTAAACTCGAAATTCCATTTCGTTGAAAATAGTTAAATTGGCGTGGCGTAAATTGTTTCTGTCCTGCATGAAGCGGCTTTCAATATTTTTGAAAGCGAATCAGCAATTAAGCAAATGAATAATGATAATACCTTTCAACTTTATAGCAATATACATGTGGCTACGAAAAACAATTTTCTTACGAATAAAATAAATCGATATGCTCTGCAGAACTTTTGCCTGACGTGATGATCGGAGTTTGAAACAAACTGATTCGTATGAGGACAGTCTTCTAGCATAACTTATGTGCCAATTCGACGTTAAAGCGATTGATGTTTTAGCGAAATGAAACTACCACATCGACGCTTCTCGACGCTCAATACTATGTCTCCAAAATAGATAAATCATTGAATTACCACGACTCTATCTACTAACAAAATTGCAGTAAATTCTATGCGTGAATTCGTAAATTATAAACATTTCGAACAATGACCAACGTGCAGATAGATTGTTATTAACATGTCGGCAACAGGAGAGTTACCGGGATTCCCAATTTGGCGAATACATAATTGGCCTGACAATACACCTCCGAAATTCTCGAATCCGACGTACGGCTTCAGTCAACTCCACCTAATGGACTCAAGTCGTCTATACGAATAGACGTAAATGATATTTACCATTTCAAATTGAATACAGACGTTCGACAATGTTAAACGTAATATTAAAGTAGATACATGACACAAAGGTATATTTATTCAAAATCAATAATCATAAAGCAGGTAGTTCGTCAAATATTCGAATTAGAACGTGCACTTTTGGCCCGCAACTCTATATGTCATATATAAAATAAACATCATAACTAAATGTCTCATTTGGTTAGACCTTGTTTGAATTGAAATTAAAATATTTTTAACATTAGCGCAGGTAGTAAGAATTTTCGTTACTACATAACGAACAAGCGTTCATTTTACCTTGACAGTTTTGTCACCAGACTGTAAATGCCTCAAAACTGAAAACAAAAATAAAAAAGTAAACAAAAATATATAAGAATAAACAAAGAATCAACAAAGATATATTTTCATCGCGGCGTTTGGTTAAACAACACTAATGGTTACAAATGCTTTATAGACGTGAAATTTGTTAACCACTCAGCTGTTTACGCAGAGTTAACACACGTATTATAGCGATGAATCTTCAGAGCCAACAACATTTATCAAACACATTTGAGGTGAGATCACTGATTAGACAAACACCCCTTCAATACATTTATTCAAGCGATACCTTGGGCATTGGACTGATAGAACTCAAAAACTGGATGCATAATTAATCTCGTTTACCGAGAATAAAGTTAAACCAGTTAGACTGATGAAAAAACTCTCCGTGTTCAAGCAATTTGTTACCGGCGGCGCTACAGCTGGCAAAACGTCTCTCTCAATGAGACAGTCCAACTACATTATTTATTTACAGTACGTGACTAAGACATTGGGATCACTTGATCGTTTGAGATAATCAAAAAAAATTTACATCTACATTTTAAAATTATATAAACGCCGTATAGCGCATTTAGAACATATTAACATAGAAAGTGAAATTTAAAAAAATTAACGCGACAGACCAATGGCCGAATACGCCAAAATTAAATCCAGGACAGCTAATATTTAAATTTCAACAATTTTTAAAATTAACCCCAAATTTTATTTTATTGCACACCGAATCGTTTTAAAGAATTCCTCTTAAATTTTAGGGAGATTCTTTGTTTCTTTTTTTTGGTCTTAAAGAAAAGATTTTACTTTTCAATTACAAATAACATCCTTTTCATATAATATAGAAAGAAATTCTTTAAATTAGATTACCTACAATAATTACTTCATTATAACTAAGTATAAATCACTCTAGACGAAGCGATAACTTTAAACTTTAAACCCAACTGTCTGCATTCGGACTGCAAACTTTAAAGTGCGAAATAACAAGTAGGTACCTTGGAAACTTTCAGAACCTCAGTATAAATGCTTATTTGATTCCCAATTAGATTCTGTACATCGTATTGTTCAGAGTATTATTATTATGTCTACATCAACAGTTTACTTTCTTTGATACTGAACGCTGTAAATAGAAAAAGAGAACTAGAGCGATCACGGACAAGAAGTATCCTATTTTTCAATAGAATTGCTAAGCGGCTTATGGTTCAAACAACCGTTGAAAGATATTTAAACGACGTGAATATTGTCTGCCTTATATGCATAGATACATAATACTTGAAAATTGCACAAAACACGCCGTAGATATTTACTATAATATATATATATATGAAAGTAAATTAAAAGTGTCATACAATAGCTTCACTTTAGACAATGGAAACAAAGAAAAGTCGAACCATCTCTAGTGTAGCTATACCGTGGTAGTTGAGTTTTTTATAGTATCTAAAAGATGTTACTTTTTTCAAAGTTGATATGTAAATTATTTTTAATATATGATTATATTTTGTCAATGTCAATATTTATAACAATTAATCCAAATACTTCGTTTTTTACCTACTTAAAATTATCTAGAAGACGCGGGTTCGAATCACGACGGCACCGAAAATTTTTGTCTATTTAAACTTCGTTTAAAATAAATTCTAAATGCAGATTACCGGTAATAATAAAAGATATTTTCAAAATTTCATGACAGAGGGAACAAATCTCGTTCAAATATTCGTTGTAAAACGTTATTCGTGTGTGTAAGCTCACTTAAACATTGCTCACTAGTTGGCATGTCTAGATTTTAGCAACGTGAGGTCATTGGATCGTGAGGGATCGATGTTGCAAGAATGGTCCGTCAGGGGAAGTACTACGACCTAACAGAAGATCGTGAAATACCTCTGCGTTTCGTCTGGTGAGTGAGGTAGCCGGTTAACGGCAGCGATTATCACTTAACACCAGGTGAACCGCCAGCTTGATTGCAATCTTCTCACATGAAATATAAAAGATAATAACATCTAATAATAGCGTCGCATTGTTTGCAAAAGCGCGAAATGGTGTTTTTAAGTTGTGCACGTAACATTCATAAAATTCTATGTTTTAAACCCAAAACAGTGGTTATTAATTGACTATTTTTTTCGTGTTTATGAAAGAGAAACATCTTTTAAATCATGTTTTATATTGTATCTTGTATTAACTTATGTTTTTACTTTCAGTCCCGAGACTATTAAAGCTTCATCTGGCACAGAACTGGTGGGCTAGCCAGAGCCCACGGGTTTAGGAAATCATGTTTTAGTTAAAGTATAACATAACTTGTTCTTCATATGTAACTTGTACTTCAGCTGACAAATAATTTTCATTTAACGCCTGTGCTGGATGGCGGAGCAATTATTGCTTCTACAGTTTAAAGCGAATAATAACAATATTTGAACTGAACTGAAGGCAGAAATAAGTATTTGTACTCTACTACATACCAAATAATGTCCAAATAATCTTCAAGTAATTCATAATTCCAAATAAAAATTAAATTATATGCTGATGATAAATTGAAATGTTTATAACAGTTTCTCTGAAATTTGAAATCTCTATTTATCCCACCAAATCGACAGGGGTAGTAAAAAATCTTGGAAAACTAGATAATTTCGACGGATTATTCTTTACCAATAATTAATTTTTTTGATGACTCCGTGGCACAGATGCAAGGAATTGGCTTCAGCGTCCGGGATCGCGGGTTCGATCCCCACACGGGATAACTATTTGTTACAGCTAGTTGTTTCGTATCTGGACAAACATAAATTTTACAAACATGTCCGCATAAAATTTATGATTGTAAATTTATGTAAAAAGGTCCTTACAACACAGGATAATGTTATCCTAAAGTAAGCAGAAGAAGTGATGTTTAATATATAATGAAAATAAATGTTTAAAGAAATAATTCAACGTTTCATTCTTTTCAATTCCTTCGACTTATATATATTTTAACCGAGTTAATTAATCATTTTTTAATGTTCTTTTTGATATGAGAAAAGCTTCAATGTGTATAGAAATAAATTTCCATTATTTATAATGTTAATCTATGCACTTAAGGTGTGTATATTTAACATCTTGTATAAAATACCAAGATAATCAATTTAGTCATATTTGTATGGCAATATTTTATACTGTCGCTAAGACGCCACTAGATTAAGATACACTACGTGTCTCTAGTGAAAAACTTACTTATAAAAAATGAATTTCCTATCTTGGTAAGCTGAATTGGGATGAGTATGCTAATTATGGGCAAACAGATACCATCCGGCATCTTATCTTCATAAGCTAACTAATTTCATTTCTTAAATTTAAATACGTTCACGAGGTAATTCTAATTTTAACTGAAAGTATTAACATTAATATCACTTTAGTATAAAGAAGAGAAATTTACAAAAGTTCTCAATTTAATGTACAATAAATAAATATTATTTTAAAAAAGAAAGGTTATCTCAAAACACGTGCAGGCATATATCAGATTGAATCAAAGAGTTATTCAAAGATAAGCCCGTTTAAAATGAAATCCCATTCTGTATGCTCGAACCAATAAAATCGATCGGAAGGGAAATGCGTTCATAGCAAAACTATTTCCAATAACCAATCCAATATGCACCTGATGCTATCGCGAAATCAGATCAACATTAATTTACCTATTTGAGAATTCCTTGTAATTTTTTAATTTCGACCTTTAATGTCACATGAATTTTAATAAATTAAGAGTTTACTACATTTATGACAAGATTCTAAATATAAATCTACTAATATGGTAATAAAGTAATAATTACTTACAAAAGTATCG